GCAATTTGTGAGGGTCGATCACTTTGCTACAAATAGACTTGAAGAAGAAACACATTTTAGTTATCGCATTATGCACCTCACTTGGTAAAATAAAACGTATGGCCACTAGAAGAAAATTTTCTATCAACACATGGTAATCATGAGATTTTAAACCTTTCAGCTTCAAGTCTTTCATTGGCATAAGATTTTTAATATTGAATGAGTAACCTTCTGGAACTTTAATTGTACCAAGAAACTCACATAATGATCTTTTTTCTTTTTGGATAGTGTATGAGCTGTCTGATGAAGAAATGTATAGCTTCCACTCTCCTCTGGTGCCAAGTCTTCTCATATTCCCATAGAAACCATGTCTAGCCTTGCTTTTATGCCATCTTTGCTCTTCTTTAGAATATGTAGTAATGTACTAACAATACTTTTACACACATTTTTCTCAATATGCATTATATTAACAAAATGCCTCATATCTAAGGTCTTCTAATACAACAAATAAAAGAAAATAGATCTTTTCTTTCATCTACTTGTACTAATATGCCTCACAAAAAGGTTTTTCAAATTCAATACCCAAATCCTTAACCTTTTCAAACAGCTGATCACCGAATAAAAATAGAGGAGGCTTACCTTCTTCTAGATTACCATCAAAAGATTTTTTTAATCCTGGATAATAATGTTGTTGAGGCAACCATTTGCGATGTCCTATGTAGACATTCTTCATACTATGTTCTAATCTCACTGATTGTGTACTATCTTCACAAATAGGGCATCTAAGTTTTCCTTTGATACTATACCCAAACAATTTACCATAAGTTGGAAAGTCATTGATTGTATTAAATAGCATGGCTCTCAAATTAAATGTTTCCTTCTTATACTCATCTACACCTCGACACCTATCTCTCATAATAGCTTCAAATCTTCAATTAAAGGAGCTAAGTATATGTTTATGTTATTTCCAGGTTGTTTTGGTCCAAACTTAACATGAATATCATCAAATACTTGTGCTTCATGCATAACCATGGAGGTAGGTTGTAAATAATTAACATTACTAGCCATGTACTATGGGTACTGCTTTGCATGCCATGTGGATTCATTCCGTCAGTAACTAGTGTGAGGCATAGGTTCCTAGAATCTCTTGCAAAGTCTAGATACTTTCGATCAACCTTTTCCCATTGAGCAGAGTCAGCATGATGCCTTAGCATACCATCTCTAATCCTCTCATCTGCATGCCACGTTAAATTTTTAGAATTTACTACATCACTATATAAGTGTTTAAACCTAGGCACTATAGGAAATTACCATACCACCTTCTCCAGACTCTTTCCATTGTACTTATAACATGATGTATTACACTTAGGACACTTAGTTAATAATGCATATTAATTACCGAACAAAGTACAGTTATTGGGACAAGCATGTATTTTCTTATAGCTCATGCCCACAGATCGCAACACTTGTTTTGCATCATATGTTCGGGTTGGAAGCTCATTGCCCTTCGGTAGCATTTCATGAATAAGAGAAAGAAATTCAGTGAAGATCGTATCAGTCAAACCCCTTCTTACTTTCAAGTTATACAATCTCAACACAGCGGTCAATTTTGAGAATCTAATGCAACCAGTGTATAAAGGTGTTCCCACATTATTTCTCAACCTCTCAAGCATTTCAGGATAATCCTGGAATTTCTCTTCAACAGCATTTGCCATCTTTTCAACACGATCATTCTCATCTATACTTGTTTCAAAATCATGTGACACGTATGTTGAACCACTATTCCCACGGCTTCTATTGGTTGTATCTCTTGACTCACCATACATATGCCAACATGTGTAAGTATGATCAATTCCATAGCACACTAAATGGTCTTCTAACTCGCTTGCACTAACTCAGTTCAAAAGGCCATACTTGATACAAGGGCACACAATGCTATTATGATCTACCTTATGCTCTAATGCAAATCTAATAAATTCCTTTACCCCTTTTAAATATTCTTTTGAGACTTTATTCGCAAACATCCATTCCTTGTCCATGATCTCTTCCAATCTAACAAGAATTGTTAAGGAAAATGATATTAGTGACTCAATCATATTAAAAGAGTTAGTTTAATGAATAAATTAACTACTAATTCAATCAATCATGAGCCACATGCTTTCACATATATATCATCCCTCTCTAAGCTGATTAAGTTTAAGATAATACTTGCAATTATATTAAACTAGTTGTAAGTAATTTATCTTAAATAAAAACTTGCCAATAAATGAATTTTTTTAATTTATAAGTTCTAAATAATTTTAACATTTATTTTCATAATTTCTTTAGGCATTATATTTGAACATATATAATCCAAACCCCTGTATTTAAAATAAAAAAATAAGTAATTTTTAAATACTTTAGAGATTTTTAAAAAGGATTATTTTGTAGAGATTAAAAAAAAGGAATATAATTGTTTTATGTTTGGTTACAATCACAAAAATATTTTACTTACAGTTATAATAAGAACAATATATATTTGAATATTAATATTAACATACATCTTAATTGTTTTATGTTTTTTACTTAAAAAAATTAAACAAAATTTCAAATAAAAATTGGGTAGCATAACGGTATAAAAATAAAACTTTCCAAGGCATTTTACCTCATTTCAATTACAACACCATCAACAACAACAACATAGTATTTTAAGCTAAAAGACACACATGAGTAACAATTTTGAGTAAGCTCAAAGTACTCATCCACAATTTCAATTAATATAAAACTTCATACACTACTCAACTATTTAAAGAATTAAATGATAAAAAAATTTCAAACAAATCACTTAAATATTGTTCAAACAAAAAATACACAAAAATGGGTCATAATTTTGGAACAAAAAAACTATATATAACTTCCATCTACTCAAATATTATTAGTCTAACACATGTCTTAAACTTATCCATAACATATGTTAATATTAATATTAACATACATCCTAATTGTTTTATGTTTTTTACTTAAAAGAAAAAAAAACTTAAACAAAATTTCAAATTAAAATTGGGCAGCATAACGATATAAAAATAAAACTTTCCAAGGCATTTTGCCTCATTTTAATCACAATGCCATCAACAACAACAACAACAACAACACAACAACAATAACAACATATAGTGTTTTAAGCTAAATGACACATATGAGTAACAATTTTGAGTAAGCTCAAAATACTCATACACAATTTCAATTAATATAAAACTTCATACACTACTCAACTATCAATTAAAGAATCAAACAATAAAAAAATTTTAGTCAAATCACTTAAATATTGTTCAAACAAAAATACACAAAAAATGGGTCATAAGTTTGGATAAAAAAAACTATATATAACTTCCATCTAATCAAATATTATTAGTCTAACACATGTCTTAAACTTATCCATAACTTAAATTTCATATGGGTTTTGGCTAAAGATAATTTTTTTTCTGAGACATTTCAGCAAACACCTTGTGGGTGTTACTAATAACACACCAAATCAACATAATGCAATATGATAAACTCAAATAAAATCAAAAATCAACCATGCCTAATCATTTCCAAACAACAATTAACACAAAAATCCACTTAAATGATTTTAGATAGAACTCAAGAGATTAAGAAGAAATATGAACAAATAAGGAGAGAAGAGGCAAGCACTTACAGAATGTAGAAAATGAAGACAACAAAGAAGAGTAGACCCACAGAAGCTTAAGGAATGTTGAAGAACACGAGCTCCAATGGAGAAGATGCTACTCAGCCGAGAGGAGAGAAACTAGAAAACAGAGACGACGTGCTCGGAGAAGGAGCAGGAAAACTGATGAAATCTGATCTGAAAATGGGAGGGAAGTGTTTACATTCCAATATACATCCAACATATTGGACGGTTAAGCAAGAATAAAAAAAATAAAAAATTCAAATCTTATAGTGGACGATTCTGAGGATAACTGTCCAATATATAAGAAAATATTGGATGGTTGCCAATATAATTGTCCAATAAACCTTGTCATATTTTATTAAATTTGTATCAATGAACCCTTGGTCAAACTTTAGTTTAACAGTCAATGTTTTTTATATTTAATAGTAAGGCAAAAATGCTCGCTTTTTGAAAAGTTTAGGGCAAAAATGCTTCAAAAATAGTTTAGAGTGTCAGGTGCCCTTGAAGAAAAAGTTTTAGAGCAAATTTGCCATTTAACCTTATATATACACATACATAACCAAAAATTTAATATCAATATGTAGCTTAGAATTTAAGAATAAAATATATGTATATCCCCTTCAACTTATTTTTTTTATTGCTCATAAGTATTTTTTTTACTAAATGTAATTTTGTTCAAGGCACGGTTAGGTATCAGATGTGAGCACATCTCCTGATAGGAATTCATATTGTAGCTTATTTTTTAAGTTTGTCATATTATAAAGAACTAACTCGTTCCGCTAAACCCAATATTCTTATTGCTTCCTCCTTTAACCTTAATTACGAAGCTAAGACATCTTTTTTGATAGAGTGAGTTGTGAAGAGATCTTTTCTATTGTTAGAAATTTAAAAAAAAATTATGTTTCACGGACATTTCTTCTGTTTTGAAAATTCATTTTCGTCAATTAACCAATAAATCTATGAAGGTTAAAGTGATAATCAGGGGGGAAAAATAAAATCAACCGCCAAATATGTACCTCCAACACGTCATTCATTCATTTCATTCAATTTGTTTGTAAGCATTTAAATCATTATTCAGTGGCGTGTATGTGACTCGATCCCTCCTCCTTCACTCAATCCCAAACTTTTCAATTAAACTCTCTCTGCTTTGACGGGTACACTCTTTGAACCCAACTTCATTAATTTTCGCTTTACTCACACCATTACTCATCCACCTCCAATTTTATACCGACAAAGCACACCCACACAATCCAAATATTAACACATCACATCTTTATATATATATATATATAGAGAGAGAGAGAGAGAGAGAGCGATCGAGAACTGGCCAGGAAGAGAATCAAGGGAGAAAATGTTTGTGGCCGGTGCTGAAGAACGTAAAACTCAGAAGAAGCAGCCTGGTGGATGGAAGGCCATTGCTTATATTCTAGGTCTCTTTTCTTTCTCTTCTGTGAATGATCATATATATATATATATTTGTTTATATCATGTGAACGATTGATTAATTACAGGGAATGAGACGTTTGAGAGGCTGGCAGTGTTTGGACTGCTTGCGAACTTTCTGGTGTATCTGACGAGGGAGCTTCATATGGATCAGGTTTCTGCTGCGACCATCATGAGTTTATGGTTTGGTCTCTCTAACTTTGGACCTCTCATTGGTGCTTTCGTTTCTGATGCTTATGCTGGTCGATTCGCCACCATCGCTTTCGCTTCTTTCTTCTCTCTTTTGGTATGCATCACTTCTTCATCTCTCTCTCTCTGTGTGTGTGTGTGTGTGTGTGTGTGTGTGAGATACTTTTTTGGACTAGTGTCTATATGCGTTTGATTGATGATTAGAGGTTTCTCAAACCAGACCCACACGTTTCTGTTACGAGTGATGACTCTTCACCGACTTGTGGACCAGTCTGTATGCGTTTTTTCCAACTTTTTCACACCATATTTGTGTTTTCTGATGACACCTTGTTTCCTTTTTCCTTCGTCTGATATCAATCTGCATGCTTTCAATCAGTTTTTCTTTACCCTATCCTTTTATTTAGAACTAAAGTGCAAAAATATCTAAAAAATTATTCTGGCTTCAAGGACTTATGTTATCTTTAATTAAGTCAACAATTTTACATTAATACTCATTAATTTCATAAAAGCGGATGGGAAAATGTTGATCTTTTTTATAAAATTAATGAGTATTTATTCACCATTGTTAACTTACGGATACCAAAAATTCCTGGGTAATTTTACCTTTAGGCATCTTCCATGAAAACATATTATCTTGTATATGTAACTTTTTGCCATACTGATAAAAAATTATGGAAGAATAAAATTGCAAAAGAATAATTAATAGTCTATCATTTTATGTAAAGTGACTTATAAAACTATCAATTTACTGTGAAAGATTAACTTATATACTGGAGGGGAAGTATAGAGTAAATTTATTGCAAGTGACCTTTTTATTATTAATTCTTTTCAGAGTTATAACTTATAACAACTTTCTCAGTGGTTCGAAAATAACTGACACTTTAAAACATTAATTTTGCAAAAAGTCATTTTTTTAAAAAAAAATTAATTCTTAACTTTGAAAATATAGTGAACTTTTTTTTTTTTTTACACTTTTAGGTAAACCAAAAATGCCTACATAAAGAAATAACGAACTAAATTTCAAATGACAATAATTAAAAATAAAGTGATAAAAGTTTATGAATGAAATTAAAAATTTGATATAACACTTAACAACGAAAAGTACACTTTTTCCTTTTAGTTTTGTTTTTAAAATAATTATCATATTAGCATTTTCAATAAATCATTATCAATTATATAGTTAAAATTTAAATAAATGTCCGAAACTATTTTTCTTTTTTCTTTTTATCGAACTGAAGCATCTTTTTTCAAAATTTTATTACATAGGCATTGAAGTGGGAGACAAAACGTTTAGCAGTTTTTACGCTCTTTAAAGCATAGCAGGACTTTTAATATCAAGCGCAGAATTTATTTATTTTTTAGTATCAGAATAAACTCTTTTTTAATTTCAAAATAAAGTTCTCAACCTTTAATTTGTATTTTATTCCGCTAGCCTTTGTATCGATGAAATAACTACTTGTAATCATAATTTTATTTACATAATAGATTACATGACAAATAAAAGCAACATCTTGATAGGGATCATTGTAGTTTCTCCAAAGACAGGCTTCAAATTATAAGTATGTATCGATCTAACTTGTGTATGATATAAAATTTACATTTAGCATTATTATAGTCCATAAATAATATACTCTCCTCATATTTTACACACTACAAAGTCCCAGAGACTTTACTCTAGTTCATTTACCAAAAGAAAGACTTTACTCTAATTTCAAGTTTCAGAAGATTCATATACGTGATGTTTTTCTCCTTTAATCACAAACACTATCCAATCCACTTTCGCGCAAGTCAAAGTCAAAGATAAACACTAGTCCACGAAATTTTTGTTTTCTTTTGATGATTTTTCTTTTTAATTTGGCTCCCGAACATCTGTCATTAATTATGTGGTGTATTTCCTCCGTCTCTATATATAAGAAGTTTTCTATAACTTTTTTCTCCCTAAATATAAAGGTTTGTTAGCATTTTTTTTAATGAATGGACCATTATACCTTTATTAATTTGAAAAGAAAAAATATAAGTACTCTCATTAATTTACTTTAGAAAAAAGATTCATTTTTTATTTACAATAATTAGGCACAAAATTAGAATATTGTTGTGCTCTTAATTAGATAATCAATTTTTATTAATTTTTGTAATTTGATTAAAAATATCTTATATATAGGGATGAAAAGAGTATTTTTTTTTTTTACAGTTGACCAGCATTAAATGGGTCAATTTTTGGATAAAGAATGATTATAAGCATTAATTTTGTTGATACACAGTCACACTGGCACTCATATTGTTTACTAATCATGCATACTCCACTTTAAGATGGTTATGGCATTCACATGGATGGAATCACTGTCAGTTTTAATTAAGGTGTATGAAATCATTTTCATCCGTCAACATTTAAAACTCCAACCGATGTCTCAAAGTTGGTGTAAATTATTAAATCCACAGTATTTAATGAAGTGTTATTCAACCAAAACAATTCTCCCTCTAGTCCTATTTATAGGACAGAGAGAAAAAAATTTTTTAGTTCTATTTATTAATCATATCATTAAATTTTTATCATAAATTTTATTTTTTACCATTCATTGAATGTTAGAGAGAGATAATATGTTATTAAAGTATCTATATTTAATAAAGATAAAGTTAAAAACTTATTAAATTTTAAGACAGAGTTAATGAGTTTCAAGATTTTTCTTGATACTAATAAAACATATTGAAAGTGACTTATGAATAGGATCAGAGGAGTATATCATAGATATTATTCTCTCCACCCAAATTATAAGACACTCTTAAATAAAATATGCCCTCTGTCCTTATATATAAAGTGTTTTTAACTAAATACTACATACTAATAAAAATTTATTATTTAGTTAAATTCACATAAAAACACAATAATTTTTCTGTTTTACCCTTAATAATATCATAATTAATATCAATGTGGTAGTAGGAAAAACATACAATTAATGATCTATTACATTTTTCAAGATAAGGGTAAAATTGTATAATTACTCAAAAATATAATTGCCATCCCTTATATTTAGAGACAAAATAAGCTTCTAGAAAATATTTTATATATAGGGACGAAAGGAGTATCATATAATAATAAAACTTATTAAATACACTTTATTACTTTACTTTTTCAAGAAAAATATAGATTTTAAAAATTTTCTTCATTTAATACTCCATTAATAAAAGAATATTGAAGACAGAGAATATATAGGAAGGGTAATATTGAAAACGTGTTATTAATAAAACTTTATTTTTATTAAAGTGTCTTATATTTTGAGATACTGAATCTTTTTTACTAGTGTCTTATAATTTGAGACGAAGGGAATACTTAATCTAATCCAAAATAAGTTGGTACATTTTATAAGTTTTTTCCCTTCAAAATACTCCTATATATAGATCACATTTAATTTTGGTCATGTTTGATGCATTAATTATTTTTCCTTGATCAGCCCTTGACTACATTTAAGAAGTGAGAGAGCTAAAAGTTAACGAATGGGTTATATATAAGGAAATACTACAACCTATTGAAAATTTAATGAATTTAATAGAGGCAATAGTGCAAAGCGTTGAAATTTATTTGGAGAAATTTAATGAGTTAGTTAGTCAACTTTAATTTTAACTCCTTTCTATGTTGCATATGAAGTTAGTCAAGTGTAACTTACTTTCTCGATCCCTAATATAAGATATTTCTAATTATCTCACCGTAATCAAAAAGAGATAGTTGAGCTATTAATCTAAAAAAAATAATGATTCAATTTTATTCCTGTTTATTAAATGAAAAAATTTTCACATTTACATTTCATTCTTTTTCATAATTAATGAGTTTAAATAGGGTAATATTAGACCAACGTAATTTTATCCTAAACAAGTGCCATATATTAGTAGGACCCTATAATAGAGGTGGTAAAGAATATTTTTGGCAATTAATAGGACCCCATATCAAGTGCCACATTTTTGGTAATTTTTTCTTAGAGTCAATAATTTAATCCAAACCTGACAAGTCAACCCTAAATCTACTCAAAAAAATTTAGGGCTAAGCTTTAAAAATATTTTTTTTAATGTTTGGGCCTATTCAGGCACCCAAATTGGCTTAAGAAAATTCAGGCCAAGCCCGAACTCAGTCAAGCTTGGCCTGAATTCTTGAATATAAAAAAAATTTAAAAATATATATATAAAGTATTATAAATATTAATTAATTTTTTAAGTTTGATGTCATTTTATACTAAAATATAATATATTTGAGTGCATTACAATAGTTATTTTTTAAAAACTAAAAATATTTATGTTTTTATATTTTTGTTATTCTTAATCAATAAAATATCTCAAAATAATATTTAAAATATATTTTAATATTTATTTTATATTTTAAGACCCAATTTTTTTTAAAAAAGTTTTGAGTCCTTTACATCATTTGCGTATCCAAAAAAATATATTTTATATTTTTATAAAATTAGATAATTAATTTTAAATTTAAAATAAAATTTAAAATAAATTTAGAAATAAATTTTGGGCATGTATGAATTTTTAATTCTACTACTAGATAAATATAATAAATATAATAATATTTTTGGATCATTATTTTGTTATTGTCCACATTAGAGTTAGTTAAAATTAAGAATAAGTTATAGTAAATCCTCCTTATAAGCAGGGTTTAAATAATATAAAAAGTTAATGAAAATAATTAAAAAATAGTATTTTAATCATAATTAAATAAATTTTTTATATAATATAATAATGGCTATTTTTTCATATTTTTAAAAATGAAAAGTACAATTTACCTAAAAGTTGATAAAAATTCTGAACTAATCAAGATAATAATTTTAAGTTAGTGGCCTAACCATGATTAAATTGAGATCAACTTAATCATAATTTAAATTATATAATTTAATTAAAAAATATAAAATATTTATATATGACTATGATAAAAGCAATATTTAAACAACTAAAATATTAATTTATAAGTAAAGGAAATATTTATGAACAAATTACACATAATACAATAAAATAATAACAGAGCTACTTAAGTACAAAGTTGATAAGTTATTATTTTTATTTTATTTTTTTAAAGTTAAAATAATATTTTATGCTTAATGGAATGATTTAAAAATTAAAATTGATTCAAAAATAAAGAAAAATAATTTTAAAAAGTTTCAAGTATTTGGGCTAGCTCAAATAAGCCCCAAGCATGAAGATATTAGGAATGAACTTGACTATATAGATTTTTTAGAAAGGATATGATATTTTAAGCCTGACACAAGTTGAGTCCGAATTAATGGCACTAACTTTATCCTTACCAAAAAAATTGTTTTAGATGACACTTTATAATAGGGATAGGAAAGAATATATTTTAATTTGGACCAGACGAAGCACTTTCTATGGTCCTTTTACTACAAAGCACCTCTTGGAAACCAATGAAACATGGTTTAAATAAGTCAAACTCAACTTAAAAAGGGGGAAGAAAAGGGGCTAGAAAAGAAAGAACTGAAATAGATGAGACTTATTTAGAAGTGCAAACATATGGTAAAATGAAGTTTATATATGCTAATTTCAAGTTAACTAATGAATAAAGTTCACATAATTAACCTATAGGGAAATTTTTCAGGCAGGAAATCATATAAAAACGAGATGCCTGCAGGTTCATGAATAATGACTTATTAATAGTACTCCGTACTTCCTTCAATCCCTGTTAATAAGGCACACATCTATTTACTTGATTAGAATTAAGTTATCAATATTGTTTGAAAATGTAATAAACTTCTAATTTTATCTCAATTTAAATAAAAAAATTTAAATTTATATTACATTCTTTCTTATAATTAATGAATTTAAATAAGGATAATATTAAAAAAAAGGTTAAGGGATATTTTTGTTCTTCAACTTTATTTGAAAGGTCACTAGGGACCCTAAACTTCATTAGAAGTCAATTTTGTTCCTCAACTTTAAATATGCCTCTCTTATTACCCTACCATCTCCTCATTGTTAATGGGCTCCACATTACATTTTTTTAATATCATTTTATTATAAATTATTTGAGTTAAGGGTGCTTATTGACTCATCAGATAAAAGTTGAGAGGCAAAAATGACTCTTAACCCAATAAAAATATTAAAAAAATAGTAAAACCTACTGATAATTACTGGATGTTAGTGTTTTTAATGTCAAGGTGATGAAGGAAAAAAATTTTAATATTGAAGGATAGATTTGACCTATAATTGAATTTAGGATCTGTAATGATCCTTTGACTAAAGTTAAGGGGTAAAAATGACCTTTAACCCTTGAACAAACATAATTGATACTCTATCAAGTGTCTTATATTAAGAACCACAAAAAATTCTTTTAGAGCCACCTTATATAATGGAAACTGGTGGGAGTTTATTATAAATTTTAATTTTATATGTTGATAATGATGAATATTCCTCATTATAACCCAAATCACCTAAATTTTCTTTCAAAATATTTTCTTTATGTGGTTTTCAATTTCATTTCTACTGTTCAACGTACAGGGAATGATCGTGATGACTCTAACGGCGTGGTCACCGGAGTTACACCCTCCACCATGCACTGCTCAAGAACAAGAACTAAACCAATGCGTAAAACCCACCAAAACCCATATCGGTGTTCTGACAATGGGACTTCTCTTACTAGCCATTGGTTCTTCTGGTGTGAGACCTTGCAGCATTCCCTTCGGGGTCGACCAATTCGATGCCGACATAGAAGAAGGAAGAAAAGGAATCAATAGCTTCTTTAACTGGTACTACACTTCATTCTCCATCGTGCTTTTGATCAATCAGACTCTTGTGGTTTACGTACAGGACTCTGTCAGTTGGAAGATTGGTTTTGGGATTCCTACTGTGTGTATGTTCTTCTCCATCATCATGTTCTTCGTGGGGACTAGGGTTTATGTTTATGTGAAGCCAGAAGGGAGCATATTTTCTGGTGTTGCTCAGGTTCTTGTTGCTGCTTATAGAAAGAGAAAACTTGAGCTCCCTGACGATTCTGAGAAAGAGAACGTGGATGAGGCATTTTATGATCCTCCTTTGAAGAACGACAATAGTGTTTCCTCCAAGCTTCCTTTGACAAACCAGTACAGGTCACAGAACCGACTCCTGTTTCTTACATCATTCATTCTGAATACTTCTTCCTAGCTACAATATATAGAACATTTTTTTAGAAGAATTGTTTGGTCTAATATATATAGAAACATTGCATAATTTTTATAATTATTTTTTTAATTATACCTCTATTTTATTTATTACTCTTTTTTAAAAAAATTGATGCACTAGAATTTCAATTATGATTATCAAGGCTTGTATGAAGTATTTAACGGTGGTAATATTAGAAATATGTAAAAAATTTTAAGAGATCAAGATTTCAACTAATTTTTTTTAAAAAAAAAATCATGAAACAATTACCATTATCCTATAGTGTGTGATTCAAATGGATAATAAGACAATTGTAACTAACTCACGTATAGCATCTTAGAAAATTTGGATTTATCCACATTTCTTTTTTCTTTTTTTTTGGGGGGTGGGGGGGGGATCATCTATTTCCAATTATGCCCTTAGTTATTCCCCATTAATGTAAAACGTTAAGTTACTTTTTTTTTTTTAACACCTCTCTCTCATTACTTAAACTCTAGATCCTCATTCATCATCAATAGATCAATATTTCTTTTGATCCTATTTACTAGTCACTTCTAACATTTTCACCGAAATTAAGAAAAACCTTAAACTTTATTAACTCTGTCTTAAAATTTAACAAGTTTTCAACTTTACCCTTATTAAATGCCTACTCTAAAAATAAAATACTCTAGCATTTAATGATTTCTCTAACATTGAATAGGGGCAAAAGAGTAAACATAGATATAATACTCATTGAAGTATCCTATAAATAGAACCACAACAAATATTTTCTCTCTGTCTTATAAATAGGACCAAAGGAGTAGTGTTAACTTGAAAATTGACCAAGCACACCCTGACCATTAATACTCCCTCCAATCCCCATATTATAGGGTATAATCTACTGGAAAAATGTTTTGGTCCTAAATAAACGGTACATAGATTTTTATTTATTAGTAACATTTTTCAATTTTTTCTCCCATAAATTCAATTTCATGGTTTATCGTATCTATATATCTGTTTTTTTCTTTTTAAATGGAGATAAAATGAATTTTTTTATTTTAAGACATATTTAATGATATAACTACATATTTAATCTCAATAATTGCAAGAGTCTTATAATAGGACAGGAGGAGTCCATCTTTATAAAAACGATAAAGGGGTAAAAATGGGAAGAAAAATTGTTGATATATACTACATATTTTCTATATTTTAGACTAAAAATTAAAATACTTACTCAAAGTTGCTGCCTTACATTCAGGATCGACACGACAGAGTAAGTTTTTCGAGCTTACTGAGTTTTTATATATTACTTCATTCATTATCTGGTTTGATTTTCTTCTTATTCTAGGATGTTAAACAAAGCTGCTTTAATAATGGAAGACGAGTTAAACCCAGACGGAAGCAGAAAAAGCAAGTGGAGACTTGCTAGTGTTAAGCAAGTAGAAGAAGTGAAATGCCTCGCAAGAACCCTCCCGATCTGGGTAACTGGAATCCTCAGCTACATCCCCGTTGCTCAGCAAACAACATTCACAGTCTCACAAGCTTTAAGAATGGACAGACACTTAGGACACAGGTTCCAAATCCCCGCAGGTTCAATCCTAGTAATGTCAAACGTCGCCGTCTGCTTCTTTGTACCTCTCTACGACCGATTCCTCGTACCAGCTCTCAGAAAAATGACGCACCTCGAAGGTGGCATCACCTTGCTTCAGAGAATCGGAATCGGCATGGTGCTCTCAGAACTGGCCATGGTCGCCGCCGGCTTGGTGGAAGCAGCTAGAAGGGACTCGGCTAACTCGACCGGGTTCATCATGTCGGTTTTCTGGCTGGTCCCACAGTTGGTTTTGATGGGTTTGTCTGAGGCTATGAATATTATAGGACAGATTGAGTTTTTCAATAAACAGTTTCCAGAACACATTAAAAGCACTGCGAATTCCCTGGTGTTTTGTTCTCTTGGGATTGCGAATTATTTGAACAGCTTGCTGATGACCATAGTTCATTATGGAACTCGACGTCAGGGGAATTGGTTGGCGGATGATTTGAATGTTGGGAGGTTGGATTACTTTTACTACCTCATTACTGTGATTGGAGGTTTGAATCTGGTTTTGTTTATCTGGGTTGCTCGTACGTATGAGTACAAGGAAAGCTTGAAGGTTCACAATGACGACGACGACGCCGCTAGTCGTGATCATGATGTGGAGTCACAGGGAAATTAATTTTGGAATTATTATCTTTGTCGCTGTGATGTCTGAAGTTATATATTTCATAAAGTTACTGTGTAGAAACTAAGTTTATGTGAGAATGATATAATAATATTCAATAAAATGGGACTTTGACATGAAAGAGACGTTCTCTTGGTGTGATGTTGCGTTGTGATTATTTGCTTGAAAGATTTGAAATCTTCTTAATTTCCACTGAAATTAGTTTCGTTGCTAAGCATTTTGACTCTTCGTTAGTTGATTAACATCCGAGCATTGATGAAGTTTAATTATCTTGCTTGATTTTAATTGAAGATTCACACACAAATAATCTAAATACAAAAAAGTCTCATGAAATTACAAACTAAATTTGAAATCACATGTAAGTTACTATTTATTGAAATTGTTAATTATCGTTGGATAGTTGTTATTGTTAATTAATTAATATTGCGTAATTATGAACTGAACAATTCCATTAACGACTATCCAACAATAATCGAAAATTTCAATAAAACACATTAACATCCCAAGTAAAATATGTGAGATTTAATTCAAAATAATTTTATGATTTCATGTGATATTTTTATATTTAGATTGCTTGTGCTTTTTTTTTTGGCCGGCATCTAGATTGCTTGTGTTGGACTTATGAATGGATCAGCAATACACACACTCCCTTATGAATGAATAATAATATTATATATTTTTTCCAATATTTATTAGCCTTATTGTTTAAAGAATAAGTATTTTGTAAAACAAAACAAACGATTGAAAAATCTATTTGAATAATTGCTCTAAAAAATTATATCTAGTAATTAGAAAATGTAAAAACTTGTTTGATAATTTCTCTTAGAATGTGCTTTGAGAACAGAAGATAAAAAAAAACTTGTTTGGTTAACTTTTTTATATAACTAAAATTGGAATGATTTTTTTATAATTATTTAACATCATATTGTAACCATGAATTAACTGAAGGGTTAAAGGGCATGTTCGCCCTTCAACTATTCATGTAGAAACATCTAATACCCTAAATTCTTTTGTGGTATAATGTTCCTCTTTAACAATTAAAAAAGGTACAGTGTTGCACGGCCCTATTATTATAAATATTAATTTTAACCATTAGTTAATTTAAAAAATTATAAAAAAATGACTTACCCAAAAAACTGCAAATAAAGAATAAAATTAAGTTCAAAATTATCAATAAATACTAAGAGACAAATGTTATTTTTTTTTACCATGGAAAAGGCCAAAATATCATTTTGACCAACCACTTTGATAGGTTAAACGATTATTGGATCATCATTGTTGGCAATAACATTAATAATTATAATTAAAAATGATATATTTTTTTAATAATATCTTATTAAAAATTAACACTTTAACATTTAATAATTTTTACCTAGGTTATTGCTAGCAATGATAATTCGATAATCACCTAGTACTTGGTCAAAATGGTATTTTGATATTTTATATGATTAAGAAATAATATTAATCTCTTAGAATTTATGTGTAATTTAAAAGACTTAATTAATATTAACTTTCCTATAGGTTCTTGAATGTAATATTTCCTATCCCTTTCTATAATTTTTATTGATAAATTGATGGTCAAACTTAACTTTTTTAACCATAGGGACAAAACTCACTATCTTCAAATGTTGAAGAAAGATCACTAATACAAAATTGTTAATATAAGACGCTTCATATAAGATGGTTGTATACATAACTATTTTATATGAGGAGGCAGAGCAACGGGCACAAGGAGCGTTAGAGCATATATATATATAGGATGGTTGTACAAGAAACCATCATATCTATTAATAAAATAGGATGGTTCCTTGTGCACCAGTCCTATATTTGTTTTTAGAAATTAAAAAAATTAATTTTTAAATATAAATACATGGAGGATGATTGTACAAGAGAACCATCCTCTATTTGTTTAACTTATAGGACAGTTATCTTATGTACTCTTTGAAATTAAAATCCCTAATCCCTTCAGTTTTTTAACAGAGTTGCAAAGATCTCTTCACGTGCAACGTCTTGTTTAGAAATCCAGAACATTAGCTCAAAACCTCAGCTCTCCCATACCATTTTAATCAACAAAAACCCAAAACCCCACAGAAACCAAAAGCTACAACCAAATGGCATCTTTGACTTCACTTGGCATCTTTGACTTTGTGTGACAGTAGCTTGGGGGCACTTTGACTTCAAATCAATTGTAAGCTCTTTCTCAGTCTCTTGTTTGGTTTTTCACAATCAAGTAATGAAGCACCATATATTTACTTGATTGTTAAAAACCATCAAATATTTAAGACATTACTTGATGGTTATTTTATAATAATTGTCAAGTAAAATTTTATACATTTTCTTTTATGACTTTTTTACTAGACTATATTTGACGGTTATTTAAAAATAACCATCAAGTAATGTTTAAATACTTGACGGTTACTTAAAAATAACCGTCAAATATTGTTCGGTAGTTTGCCAAAATAATTGACGGTTATTTATAAATAACCGTCAAGTATTTAAACATTACTTGATGGTTATTTTTAAATAACTGTCAAATATAGTCTAGTAAAAAATCCATAAAGGAAAATGTATAAAATTTTACTTGATAGTTATTATAAAATAATCATCAAGTAATGTCTTAAATATTTGACGGTTTTTAACTATCAAGTAAATATATGGTGCTTCATTACTTGATAGTGAAAAACCAAACAATTGGTAGTTTGCCAAAATAATTGGTTATTTTTAAATAACGATCAAGTATAGTACAATAATTTATGGTTATTTAGAAATAACTACTTGACGGTTATTTAAAAATAACTGTCAAGTAAACATATAATTGATGGTTATTTTTAATAACCGTCAGTATTTATGGTGTTTTTTTTAAATGAGGGCTGCTGCAAATACAAAGTAATTAAATATTTATACTAGCAAGCCAACAATAAAAAATAAATGAATTATTAAAATTATTATCCAAATGTCTTCAATTTCCTACATCTTCCTATGCCCAAACCCAAAACCATAAAAAAAAATCTATAATTTTACCTAATTTGCAAGTTAAAATTTCAAAACTAAGTAGCCTAAGACATAAAATTGGTCAAAAAAATGGATGTGTATATCAAATATAGTAGACATCCTTAAAGTACTGTATGTAAAGAGTAACAACAAATTCAAGTTAATAGCTATCTAACTAAAGTAAGGCATATTCATTCCAAAATAAAAGGCAATCATTAAGGCATGCATATATCTTTTCATAACTCATGCCAATTGATTGTAGTATTAGTTTTGCGTCATATGTTTGGCAAGAAAGCCCATTCTCCTTAAAAAGTAATTATACTTTTAAATGCCCAAGCAACTCGGTAAAGCTTGTATCACTCCATCCATGTTGTGCCTTCATGTTGTAGAATTTTAACACTGCTAACAACTTTGATGCACTACAACTAGCACACACTAGTGTGTTCACATCACTTTTCAACTTCTCAAACATTTTCAGAAAATCCTTGATGCCCTCTTCAATCACTTTAGCAATTTGTTTGAGACAATCTTTCTTGAGTGCACATGTGTCAAAATCATCAGGACATGACGCACAACTTTCACTATGCTCCTAGCTACAACTAATATCATCCCTTGTCTCACTATGCATTGTCTAACACTTAACTTTGATCCTTCCTATTAGTCACTAAGTGTTCTTTATGAGTATCTACACTAACCCATTTCACAAGGTCATACTTTAAATACGTGAAAACAATCTTAGCAAGGTCCTCCGTATGCTTAACTGCAAACTTGATGAAATCTACCACCTCATTCCAATATTTCTTGGATAGACTATTATCAAATATTCATTTCTTATTCATAATTCCTAAAAAGATCAAGAGGGAAATGTGATTAATGACTTTCACTACTCTTACATATTGGGAGAGTTAGATACAAAGTATCAATCAGTCAATGAGTCACTAACCATATATTTGCACATTCCCTCTTTCATCTTGTTTAAAACTAGTAACTATTTTTTAATGCTAACCGTTGAGAAAAATCTGGCAAGATAGCAGCTTGAAAAAGTGAATTTCCTAAGCTTTAAGCCCTCTCTTGATTAACCTAATAAGAACAGCAACAACAGCAATAGTAACAAAAATCACATAAAGTTATACCTAAAAATAATTTTAAAAAAATGGTAGTATAATGACTTAAAATGAGTATTACTAGGGCTTTATCCCTTTAGAAAAATCAAATTATCTATAACAAGACTATATATGATCCAACAACAATAATAATAACATCAATAAGAAACTAAATTTTAATTAAAATCATATAAACTACATTAAACATTATATATATCAACTTAAAACTTCAAAATTATTTCTATATAAACCAATTTCCAATCGATTCAAAAACTAGCAATATGAAAATTGACAACTCAAGGAATAACAAATCTAAAATAACCATTCAATTATAGAACAATCACTATCAAGCACTCAACAAGCACCCAAAACTCAATTTCAAAAACCTGCTAACAAGAACAACAATGGAGATCAAATAATCAACATTAAAACCACTTATTGATATGTTAGTCAAAATCAACAACTCACATATTCAAATTGAAGATTAATAATTGGGAAAGCAAGAACCAATCTCAAAAGAAGAGAAGCTAATAATAGAGAGAAACAGAGAGAGGAGGACCCAGGAGAATGATGGAAGCCAATAATTCATCCACACGAGCACCCATGAAAATGACGGAGGCCGAGAATCAAAAACCCACGATAATTCTCTATGTCTTTGTGACTTGAAATCAAATGTTGGGATGAGGTTTAGAGGATATTAGAGTTTAGATTTATTGTTTGGACATTATGCATGTAAGATGTTTGATAAAATATCTTAAAGGAACAACATGAATGGTATTGTTGTTTTTTTTTTTTTAAGAGAACATCTTATTCAATAAGGTGTTGGATAACATTATGCACATTGGCATAATTGAGCTAACTAGGGAAACTACACTAGGACTGATGAATTATTGGAACAAGTAGAACATAACTTATTAGGGAAGTCAAGTTTAATTAACATAGGCTAGTAATTGATCAATGAGAGGCATTAATAAAGCAACTAAATAATTGGGATAATGATTTCTTCACCATCTAATTCCTAGAAGCCACGTTCGTTCAAAGGGGAAGACACACACTTTTCTTGCCTTGTCTTGTTATTAGTTTCTAGTTCTAGTTTTACTTTAAATTTAAATTCACTACACTTAAAGACCTTGTGGTAATTTGTATGCACTTCAGAATCCTCACAATCAATTTGGCTTAGCTCCTAAGGAGATGGGCTATGTTTCACCCTAGCTACACTTAGGGATTGACTTAACTAATTTGCGCATCCTCCCAATCTTAGCCACCGTCATTTCAAGTTGGGAATCCATGAATCCTTGATTTGAATAACCATCATATTTAAGGGAATAAATGATGGATATTATGAATACCCATCATTTATTGGTTATTATGAATGCCTGTCATTTATTCACTTGGTATTTTAGTTTTATGCCATACCTTGTGTACTTTTATATGATGGGGACATTTGACCATAATTATTCCTTGATTAAATTATGGGTAATTACCTGTCATATAAAGGTGAGGACAATAAATAACAACCTAATAAATGATGGTTTTAAACTGGCATTTTTGTCCATTTCTAGCATAGTGAAAGCTTCATCTATTGCGCATTAAAGATTTTGTTTTAGTGTCTTGCTTGTCTTTTTTATACAACTCAACATAATTTTAACAAGTTGACATAAAAAGTAACAATGTTTATGTATACATTAGCCATATCCTTATGATCATATTTAAAAATATAGAGACTAACATTTTAAATACACGAAACTTACCCGACTTGAAGCAGCAACAACAACAACAACAAAAATAATAATAATAGTAAAAGGACCAACAATTGTATTATCCCTATTTTGTATAACCTTGTTAAAGTTTGATTTTTTTTTTAATATTTTCAAGAGAAATGGGGAAAAGGGTAAGAACTACTTAACTTGAGTTTTGAGTTAAACTTAAAATCATACTCCCTCTTATCATACTCATAATTACATTTTTTTAATATTATTTCATATTTAAACTCTTTGATTATGAGAAAGAATGTAATACAAATTAAAAAATATCATTTAAATATGAGAAAAAGTGAAAGTTTATTCTCCTTATCGGCAAAGTTAATGACTTACTTTCATATTGCATTTAAAAATGTTCAAGGTATTCACTATGGATTTTTAAATGTCAAAAGAAGTTATTTGTGCATAGTTGCATGCGCACCCACATATATAACAGAAAATTTATGCATTTAGATTCAATAAGTGGCACAAATATGCTTATTGTCTTACATGCCACAATAACAATTGTTTGATTTAATTGAATGACTATTAGAAATTTTGTCATATGATACTTAGAAAACATCTAATCTCTCTCTGTTTTTTTTTTTTAGGGATGATGTGTGTGAGGAGTATTCTAATCATGAGGGTTATTTTGAATTTTCACGGGAAAATATATTATGATAATTTTCAAGTATTAATGAAATCCAATTATTATAATTGAAACATTCATTGGGTGAGTATATTTAAGTCACTTACTAAATCCAAAAGTTAGAGACTTATGCATAATTTACTATTAATTGATATCAATAGTAATATGTGTGTGTGACTCAAAATTTAACATTAATAAGTAGCTCAGAATTTAAGAATTAAGTATATGTATATCCCTTTTAACTTACTTTTTTCTTATTGTTCATAACTATTCTTTTATTGTAAACAATTTTATTTGAGAAACGGTTGGATACTAAATATTAGCATTTATTCCAACAAGAATTCAAATATTGGTTTGGCATGTTGTAAAGGACTAGCTTATTTCATGAGACTAGACCAATCCTCGTTGATTGTGCCTTTAACTCACTTTAATTATCAAGACATCTTTTTTGATAGAGTTATTAAGACATCTTTTCTATTGTTAGAAATTTAAAAAATTATGCTACACGTACATTTCTTCTGTTTTGAAAATTCCTTTTTGTCAATCAACCAATCAATCTATGAAGGTTAAAGCGATCATGAGGGGAAAAAATAGATCAACCGCCATATAAGTCCCTCCAACAAGTCATTCATTCATTTCATTAATTTTGGTTATGACCATTTAAATCATTATTCAGTGGCGTGTATGTGACTCGATCCCTTCTCCTTTACTCAATCCTAACGCTTTTAAATTAACTTCTCTCTGCTTTTACGGGTACACTCTTTGAACCCAACTTCATTATTTTTTTGCTTTACTCACATCATTACTCATCTACCTCCAATTTTATACCGACAAAACACACCCACACAATCCTAAAATTAACACATCACATCTTTACACACACACACACACACACACACACACACACACAGAGCGCGAACGAGAACTAGCCAGGAAGAGAATCAAGAGGGAAAATGTTTTTGGCCGGAGCTGAAGAACGACGCGAAACCGATAAGAAGCAGCGTGGTGGATGGAAAGCCATTGCTTATATTCTAGGTCTCTTTTCTTTCTCTTCTGTGAATGATTTTATATATATATATATATATATCTGTGTGTGCATGTGAACGATTGATTAATTACAGGGAATAAGACGTTTGAGAGGCTGGCAGTGTTTGGGCTGCTTGCGAACTTTCTGGTGTATCTGACAAGGGATCTTCACATGGATCACGTTTCTGCTGCGATTATTGTGAGTTTATGGTTTGGTTTCTCTAACTTTGGACCTCTCATTGGTGCTTTCGTCTCTGATGCTTATGCTGGTCGATTCGCCACCATCGCTTTCGCTTCTTTCTTCTCTCTTGTGGTATGACTTCTCCATCTCTCTCTCTCTCTGTCGCTCTCTGTCTCTGTGTGTGTGTGTGTCTGTGTGTGTGTGATACTTTTTTGGACCACTGTCTATATTCGTTTGATTGATGATTAGAGGTTTCTCAAACCAGACCCTCACGTTTCTGTTGTGAGTGATGACTCTTCACTGATCTTTTGAACCATTCTATGCGTTTTTCCAAGTTTTTCACACCATACTTGTGTTTTCTGATAACACCTTGTTTCCTTTTTTTAATTTTTTTTGGTCTAGTTTCAACCTACATATTTCTCAGTTTTTCTTTATCCTATTTTTTATTTAGGGTTGAGGTGTAAAAATATTTAAAAACCCTTCTCTCTTTTTTTTTTTGCTCCAAGGGCTTATGATATATTTAATTAAGTCAACAATGTTATATGAGCATTCATTAATTTTATAAAAACAGACGGGGAATATTGATCTCTTCTATAAAAATTAATGGGGATCTATTTACTATCATTGACTTGCGGATGCAAAACCTCTTGGGTAATTTTACCTCTATGCATCTTCCTTAAAAACAAATTATCTCGCATATATAATTTTTTACCTTACTGATAAAAAAATTATGGAAGAATAAAATTGAAAAAAGAATAATTAATAGCCTATCACTTTATGTAAAGTGACCTATAAAACTATCAATTTACTGTGAAAGATGAACTTATATACGGGAGGGGGAGTATAGGCTAAAGTCATTGCAAGTGACCTTTTTATTATTAATTCTTTTCAGAGTTATAACAACTTTCTGAGTGGTTTGGAAATAACTGACACTTTAAAACATTAATTTTGCAAAAGGTCATTTTTTTAAAAAAATTAATTATTAACTTTGAGAATATAGTGAACTTTTTTTGACACTTTTAACTTAACCGAAAATGCTTGCATAATGAAGTGAAGAATTAAATTTCAAATTTAAGTAATTAAAAATAAAGTTATTAAAGTTTATGAATGAAATTAAAACTTAATATAACACTTAACAACGAAAAGTATAATTTTTTCCTTTTAGTTTTGTTTTTAAAATAACTACCATATTAGAATTTTCAATAAAACATTATCAATTATATAGTTAAAATTTAAATTAATGTCTGAAACTATTTTTTCTTTTTTCTTTTTATCAAACTGAAACATATTTTATCAAAATTTTATTATATAGGCATTGAAGTGTGAGACATAACATTTAGTAGTTTTTATGCTCTTTAAAGCATAGCAGGACTTTTATGTCATGTGCAGAATTTATTTTTTTTAATATCAGAATAAACTCTTTTTTAGTTTCAAAATAAAGTTCTCAACATTTAATTTGTATTTTATTCCGCTAGCCTTTTTAACGATGAAATCACTACTTGTAATCATAATTTTACTCACGTAATAGACTACATGAAAAATAAAAGCACGATCAACAGGGATCATTGTAATTTCTCCAAAGACAGGTTTCAAATATATAAGTATGTATCAATCTAATTTATACTCCCTCCATTCAAAAATGTAAAGCATTTTTTTGAGGAGTTAGATGTTTAAAAATGTAAGGCATTTTTAATTTTTCGAGATATAATCATTGCTTTTTAAAAAAAAATGCCCGTATTGATAATGACTTTATATTTATTATTAGGTGTTTAATAGGATTGAGTATAGAAAAATAAGATTAGTTTAAAAATAGGTAACTATTTTTATTGGAAGCGAGATTTGGTTAAAAATACTTACATTTGTCAACTAAGGGAGTATATGATATAAAATTCACATGCAGCAATATTTATAGTCCATAAATAATATACTCACATCATATTTTACACTCTAAAAAGTCCCACAGACTTAACTCTAATTTTTTTAGAAAAAAGACTTTAATTTCAGATTTCAAACAATTCATAGACGTGATTTTTCTCATTTAATCACAAACACTATCCAATCCACTTTCACACAACTCAAAGTCAAAGAGAAACACTCATCCGCACAATTTTTGTTTTCTTTTGATGATATATATACATATATATATTGGTTCCCGTACATCTGTCATTCATTATGCGCTTATCCTTCCTCAGTTGGATAAGCATTAATTTTGTTGATACACAGTCACACATGCACTACACGCATTGTTTATTACTTTTGCATACCCTTAGGTAGTTATGGCGTTTACATGAATAGAATTAGTGTCAGTATTAATTCAGGTGTATGAAATCATTTACATCCACTAACATTTAAAACACCAACCGATGTCTCAAAGTTGGTGTAAATGATTTAGTCCACAGTATTTAATGAAGTGATATTCAATAAAAAAAAAAAAAAACCCACTCCATTCCAAATTACAGGGCATTTTAATTTTGAAGAAGTTCCTTTATCCCAAAATATAAGACATTTTGGATAGATTAAGATTTCATTAAATACATTAATTTTAATATTACCTTCTTTCCCTCTATAATTTATTTCCATCTCTTCTTTTTTCAATATATTAAATTATGGGTGCTTTTTGAAAGTTTATATTTTTATTTTGAAAAGATAAGGTTGTTAAGTGTATTTAATGAGGTTTATTGATATGTGAGATTTTATCTAAAAGTGTTATATAATTTGAGATAGAGGGAGTATCATAGATATTACTTAATCCAATCAAAATAAGTTAGCAAATTTTATAAGTTTTCCCCCTTCAAAATACTCATATATATATATATATATATATATCACTTTTAATTTGAGTCATGTTTGATACGTTAATTAGTTTTCCTTGATTAGCCCTTGACTACATTCAAGAAGTGAGAGCTAAAATTATTCAATGAGTGACTCGTATATAAGGAAATTGTGCAACCTATTGGAAATTTTATGAATTTAATAGAGGCAATAGTGTAAAGCATTGAAATTTATTTGGACAAATTTAATGAGTAAATTAGTCAACATTAATTTTAACTCCTTTTTATGTTGCGTATGTAGTCAAATGTAACTTACTCCATTGATCCTTATTATAAGTCATACTACTACAAAAAATAACAATATTCAACAGTTATTTTAGATAATATTTAACGGTTATTAACTGTTGAGTAATCATGCTAAATATTTTCTGAACCTTTATTTAATGGTTTTTAACCGTTGAATATTTAACCTTTATTAAATGGTTTTTTTATTCAAAACCGTTGAATATATGGTCATGGGATCTTTTTTTTTTTTAAATAACTGCAAGAGAATATGCAATGGTTTTTATTTAAACCGTTGCATATTCTTAGTATATTTAATGGTTATACATTTTAACTGTTGAACATATAGCCACGGGATTTCTTTAACTACAAGAGAATATGCAACGGTTTTTTCATAAACCGTTGCATATTCTTAATATATTCAATGGTTAAAAATTTAGCCGTTGAATATATAATGTCAGATATTCAACAATTTTTAGATATAATCGTTGAATATTTTGAGTTACTTTTTTCCTGTACATGTTTTACATTTTTAATAACCCCCTACATTGAACATTTAAAAATATAGTATCCAGCACACCTATAACAAAATTTCAACACCAACAATATTATCCTATATATAAAATGATGAAATTTACATGGTGCATTACTACGTAAGCTATGTCCAATGTGAACTAGCTTAAATTAAACCTATAAGTGGCCAAAATAAAAATTCATATTTCAAAAAATTGACCAAGTAGGTATAACTATATGTATGTCAACTTTAAATATATACCAACATCATTTATTCCTTCACTGTTGCTGGTAGTTATAGCTAAACCACACTTGAAAAATGCCACGTGCTAGCTCTTCAAGGACTTCTTTCACTTGAGCCTCAGTAAATGTGTCACAATATGTATCCTCATAGTACTAATTGCAAAAACAACAAACTAAAGTCATGTTAATTACTAAAAATATTAAATAATGAAGAGAAGGTTAACAATATATATATATATATATATATATTGTCTGGAAGAGTCTCGATAGGAGCGTGTTGAATTATGTCCTTCATATATCTCATGATAGTGTACCCATAATCCCTAGCTTTGTCATGTTGTTCCAAGCACTATGATCACACATTGGATTAAAAAATCTGATCAGTTAATGACATGATATGACTTATATTTATGTTATAAATACACAATAAATGATAAATACATATACCTTGGTAATTGTCCATGATGTTGCTTTATCAAGGCGACCGTTGTAACACACAAAAATTCTTTTTTTTTTTAATAATTTAACTCAACCATAGTTGGGTTACAGCCACCCAACACATTTTTATATCAATAATTTCGATATAAAATATTTTATAATTGGCTTCAACTCACACACTATAATATTTCAGATAAATTTTTACCTCCCACATGCCATTAGGCTAAATCACATTTGTCCATCCTTATACTCCCAACAAGTAAACTAAATCACATTTGTCCATCCTTATACTCCCAACAAGTAAAATAAGCAATTTAGTCAATTTTCAACACAAGCCAATTATTTGGCCTTATAATCATGCCATTTTAACCAATCCAAAATAAACCAAATATTAAAATTACAGTCATCCAAATTGTACCAAAAATAGAAATAGTTTGAAAGACATGATTACATTTATATATTCATATAATTGACAATAAATAAAAAGCCCTAATATTGGCAATATAACACATTATAAATCATAAATTAAATACCCAAAAGAGACAGTGGATCTATACCACTAAGCCTCTGGGACTCCTCCACGTGTCACTCGTGGCTCTTCTCCTGAAAATTGTTAACCACATAATGAGACTCAAAAGTCCCAGTAACCAAAGCCAATTTATGATAGTGTATACAAACAGTTAAGTGTGTGCTTACTAAGTGAGAATTAAAAATAATATAATTCCAACAAATATAAGAAATATTATAATAAACACAAACAACCATCCTTATATCCCTCCATTAACCTCGAGCCGTAGCCCTCACTCGGTACTAAATTACCCGGCCAAAGGTAGATTAGCCCGAGCCCTTACAAACCACCTATTGAGCTCCAATAGGGGCGTACCACGTGGCACATAAATACAACAATAATAGCAAGTCTCCCCAACACCTCCCACAATAATCAAATAAATTTATAATAATATTGCACAATTATATAATATTACAAAATTTATAATTTTCTCAATAATCACCCAATTAACATGAAGTAACACTAATCACAAATTAAAAGCATGGTTACCTTGTGGCTTTTTCAATAAATTATTCCTTAAAATTTCTCTCTCACCACATCTTCACCAGTAATCTACAAATAACATATTATTTATAAATATTAGTTTCAATTTTTACCTATAATATTTCAGATAAATTTTTACCTCCCACATGCCATTAGGCTAAATCACATTTGTCCATCCTTATACTCCCAACAAGTAAACTAAATCACATTTGTCCATCCTTATACTCCCAACAAGTAAAATAAGCAATTTAGTCAATTTTCAACACAAGCCAGTTATTTGGCCTTATAATCATGCCATTTTAACCAATCCAAATAAACCAAATATTAAAATTACAGTCATCCAAATTGTACCAAAAATAGAAATAGTTTGAAAGACATGATTACATTTATATATTCATATAATTGACAATAAATAAAAAGCCCTAATATTGGCAATATAACACATTATAAATCATAAATTAAATACCCAAAAGAGACAGTGGATCTATACCACTAAGCCTCTGGGACTCCTCCACGTGTCACTCGTGGCTCTTCTCCTGAAAATTGTTAACCACATAATGAGACTCAAAAGTCCCAGTAACCAAAGCCAATTTATGATAGTGTATACAAACAGTTAAGTGTGTGCTTACTAAGTGAGAATTAAAAATAATATAATTCCAACAAATATAAGAAATATTATAATAAACACAAACAACCATCCTTATATCCCTCCATTAACCTCGAGCCGTAGCCCTCACTCGGTACTAAATTACCCGGCCAAAGGTAGATTAGCCCGAGCCCTTACAAACCACCTATTGAGCTCCAATAGGGGCGTACCACGTGGCACATAAATACAACAATAATAGCAAGTCTCCCAACACCTCCCACAATAATCAAATAAATTTATAATAATATTGCACAATTATATAATATTACAAAATTTATAATTTTCTCAATAATCACCCAATTAACATGAAGTAACACTAATCACAAATTAAAAGCATGGTTACCTTGTGGCTTTTTCAATAAATTATTCCTTAAAATTTCTCTCTCACCACAATCTTCACCAGTAATACAATCTACAAATAACATATTATTTATAAATATTAGTTTCAATTTTGAAACTAATAAAATAATTCTAATAATAGAATTAAAAATATAACATAATTCCTAATCTCAATCTTAATACAAATCTATAGTTAATACTATTAAGTATAATTTTTAACTCCTCTTTTAATTATCAATAAACATTGATAATCTAAAAATCAAATTTTAAACTAATTTCTATTATCAAAATTTTCTTTTTATTTTATAAATTCGTACCTAAAATACCCAAAAATTAAAAATTAAGTCTCTAGCTTAGAATCATAATCCTATAACCATAATAATTCATTTCTCATCCCAAATAATCATCTAAACCTCAATAAATCAAACATATATTTTCAGATCTTGTTTAGAATTTGATCCATAAGCCATAAATTCAAAGATCATTAACAAATTTATACTCTATAACATTTATTATACTACTGACAACCTCAAAAACCATATTTATTCAACATAAATTCATCCCTCTTCCAGATCTTAAATTTTCTACCACTACAAACTCAGAAACTAAAGAAGAAGGATGACTAAGAAAAATTTTAGAACACTTACTTAGTCTTGAAAAGCTTAAAATCACACCCTAAATATCCTATTAAAAACTCTTACCTTAAAAATTTAGATATTTCGCACCGGTGACTCGCATTCTCTCCGCCTCAGCTCGCGCGCAGGAATGAATGAGGAAATGAAGGAAGGTGAGTTTTTATAAAAATTCAGTGGGTCCCACATTTTTTTAAATTATTTCTCTCTCTCTTCTTCTTTTTTTTTTTATTATTTTATTATTGTTACTGTTGAGGCGGCGGACGAAGCAAATTCGTTTTCTTCTTCTTCTTCCTTTCTTTCTTGTTTTCACACCTTTTTTTTATTATTATAATAATAATTTAATAATATTATTTTATTATTATTTTTTTTATTTTTTTTAAATTATTTTTTTTTAAATTTTCTATTAACCCAAATTAACTATTAAAATTTATATTGGGATGTTACAACCGTTACCCATTATTAGTTATCGAGATTGCTGATTGACCTTAGTGCAGTACATGACAATGGCTCTAAGATACAATAGAAAAGTTGATATGAGAAATATGTATATAAGAAGAACAAATTATATATATATATGCACAACAGTTAGTTAACTTACTAATTAATCATCTCTATTATATGCAGTCTGTTGGTAGGATCACCACCTCTAATAGGGTCAAGATACCATGCTCTTTCTATAGTTGGATTGATCACAAGTATCATCTAATGCCCTCTATGATAATGATTACAATTAGGAAGTGTCATAATTTAATTTGAAGAAAGTAAAATATCATAAAATGATTTACTCTTCACAATAAGGTGCCATGAATATTTTGTTCTTATTAGCACCATATTGCTCGAAGTATTTAGAAAGCTTTTGAGCTATTTCTAATCCTTACTTAGGACTCATTGTCTCATCGCCATAAGGAGAGACCAAATGGGGACTAATGAGAATAACCCTTTCTGCTACATCTCTTCCAGCAAGCATGGTGATGTACAGGTTTCTTAAACAATGTCAACATAAATTGATCAATAAATGACTAAAATATAAATATTGGTAAATATCTAATGTAAGGTTTTAGAAACGTACATCATATGTAAGTTATACAAAGTAGTGGTTGCCTGTGCATGGTTGAATAAGTCACTCAAAACCTCATTGTTGACCTGATCGATAGACTCTGGATCTCCATACATTGTTGTAGGGAAAGGGAGCATTACTCTTTCTTGCATCTTTGTATAAGTCTTAAGCAACTTTTGGTGCTTGTCTGGTGTAACTAATTGACACTGAGGTGTTGATTGAGAGGCTTTAGGCACATGGGTTTAAGGGAGAACCTTCAGTGCATTATTGGGAAATGTGATGGACTCCTTGAATTTGTTAACAGAGTTCTTATCATTTCCCCTCTTCCACTTATTATTCGTTAGTGCCTTCATAGCCTTTGGTGCTTGCTTGGCCACAAGCTTATCAACACGCTAGTTTTTCACACACACACACAGTTAGAGATCAACTGCAAATAAATTTCAGTTATGAATTTAGATGTTATACCTTTAGGGACGACATTAAAATATGTTTAAAATGAATTGGCTATGCTACAAAGCTATAAAGGATCTACTACTGTCCTCGCATCTTTAGTGAGGTGAGATATATCATAATTAGGCTTTTCAGCCATCTTCAAAGAAACCTTGACTGTCCCTTCAGGGAGAATCTTTTGAAGCATGATTTAGCCAACAATATTGTATATTGTCCCAATGCAACCGAACTGCCATCCTCACCCAAACAATCAACATCAGCCTCACCCTAACAAGACAAACTTATTACATAATATGAATAACATTACCATGAATAAGGCTAGGAAAATCAATATTATTACCTCAGGTAGGAGCTGAGATGAGACTGTGCAACTGTCATTCAGCTAGCGCCACTCAGTAGAAGCCCTAACTTATGCTGATTTAATAGCATGTCAATAAGTTTAGATTGCTATTGTATCTGCTGTGACTATGCTTGTATCTGTTGCTTCTATTCTACTAGCTCTTGCTTCAGTTCTAAAACCTCAGCAAAAGAAGTAGTCTTTTTACAATGCTTGTATCCCTTTTTAAAGTATTCTTTCTTTGTGACATCAAAACCGACGCCCCAAACACAACCAAGATGGTCAATATTCCCCCAATACCTTCTCAAAGATATCCATGAGCAATAAGAGTGCCTACTGATGTCTCTTGAGTCAAGCTCTCCTGTGAAGCAATAAAAGTAAGGTAAATAAGTAAAAACAAATAATTAATAATATTATATCGTTAACACTTACTATTGTATCAACAATCGCTTTTGTTTTTAGATTATCAATATTGCCTTGTTTGTTCTTTCGAGCCTCAGTCCAAATCTTGCCATGAGATATAGAACCCTCTGGCACTTGCTCTTTTTCAATCAAGGCCTTTTCAACACCCGCATACCCCTTATGCCCAACCTTAAAAGTGTATTCATTCTTCTTCGCCAACTCTTTGTTTTTGGTTCTTAATGCCTTTAAAAACACAAAACATGACAAATAGTTGAAATAAATGCCAACAAAAGCAACAATATTTTGATAGAATAATAAAAATAATACCTTAAACTCTAGACTACGGCATGAGTTAACAAAATATTTCCATTCATTCAAATTTACAATCAGCCTAATAAGGGGAGGAACTGTGTATTCAATGCCCTCCACATTGGGGTTTTGCAAGAATTTACGAGAGATAAAACTTCTAAAAGCTTGAAGGGCTGCCTTGATCTTTTATAGGACATACTTCTTGCTCCTTTCCTCAATCTCAAATCCCAATTGCAAAATAAACAAGTCAACTTGTGAGAAGAACATATATCATAAACAAGTTTAAAATAATAATCAAAGTGATAATATCTTACCGTTATAATATTCCATACCACATCCCTCATTGCGGGAGTTGCATTCCTCTATTACTTTAAATTAATAGGCACAAAAGACTTCGCTACCACCCTAATATAACTGATGAAATTATTACTATCAACTACTTGATTTTTATTATTCCACTTGATAGTAAACTTCTTGCCTTCATTTCTTGCTTTTGTCACCTGCTCCATCACAACCAACCCCTTCTTTAGTTGCTTTTCCTCCTTATTAGTCACATTTTACTTGCTATCATCATTTTACTTGCTAGGAGTACTAGATTTAGATCTAGTATCTAGATGATCGCCCTCAGTAGTCATTTACCTATGAAGACATCAATAATCAAGATTAAATAAAACAATAATAATTCAAACAAGAGCAACATCTTAATAAGATTAAATCAAAAATATCAAAATGAAAAAATAGTAAGTCAAAAATAGTCATTTACCTATTTATTTCGTTCTTTTCCTTTTTCTTGTCCTAACTACTTTTTAACTAATTCTTTCTTAACTTTAACAGCTTTCTTCTTTAATTGAATTGATTTCCCCTTCTTAAAAATCTAAACGCCCTCATTGTGATCATGTCTTACGTAAAAAGCACTATCTTTAATATTGTCTAAGCCATTATTATTTTCAAATGATGTCCCATGAAACGGATCAACATCAACTTCATCATTTTTTTTGTTTTACTCATTTTCATCACTTTTTACAACTTTCATTTCTTCAACTTCCATGTGACTCCACAAAACAATAGACCATTCCTTATCAACAAGATCATTGACAAGATCATTGACATAAAAAACTTGTTTGGCTTGAGATAGATAAATGAAATGATCTTCTTTATACCCTTCCTTCTTTAGATTCACCCTAATCAACATAAAGTCATTGACATCTAACCCATTATTATTTTCAACCTACTTGCAATCAAAGATCGAAATTTGAAAGGACATATAATCCAACTCTCAAATATGCTCAATTACCTTAAAGTAATGCATTCTAGCATAGGTGGGTTTTTTTATCTTTTGCATTGGAAATGTGCATGCCATCAGCTATGGCAAATACACCACTATTTTGCATCATGCTCTAATCATCGTGTTCTTTCATGTAAAACTTATACCCATTGATAATATAGCTCATGTAAGAAAGGACATGCTTGTTCGGCCCTAGTGATAATCATCTCAATCTATCAGGAACTAAATTAGGATCGGCATTATACTTCCCTTCTGTATGCTCTTTCAACTAGCGTATAAATTGTTGATCGTGTAGTTTGATGATCCAACCATCTAATCAATAAGGATTCTACCTCTCTAGCTTTGCTTGGTGAATCTTAGCATACTCATCAACCTCTGGAGAGTTGTATAGCACAAAAAGGTGTACTTTTCTCACTAGTCACTTGAGATAGTGACAACTTTTCTTCTTGTTCTCCTTTCTATACATTCTTTACCAACAACCTTGAATTCTTTAAGTATTGACTGCAAAAGTAAACAGCCTTTTCATTAATATATTGTTCAACAATGTAATCTTTTAGTCGACTTTGACTTTTAATATAACCTTTCAATACTTTCATGTGACACTCAAATGGGTACATCCATCTCAAATTAGCAGGACCACATAATTGTACCTCTCTAACTAAATGTACTATTAGAATGCAGGAGGGGAAAACATCTCCATCTGGCATAATGTTTGCACAATTCAATTTTGCAACCTTGGCAACTTGTTGGTGTTAATTACTTTACTATAAAGACACTTGAAGTAGCATAACTTTGCAATTATAACTCCCACATTATCAGGTAAAATACCATGTATGGCCACTAGAATAAAATTCTCCATCAAATCATGAGTCTTTAAACCCTTTAGCTTTAGATCTTTCATTGAAACAAGAATCCTAACATTTGAAGAGTATCCATATGGAATCTTGACTGTAGCAAGAAACTCACAGAAACTTTTCTTTTCTTTTCTAGATAATGTATCAGTCGTAGTATGAAGAAATGTACAAGTTCCTTTCTCTTATAGTGTTAATTTTTCTATTATCCCTATTGCAATCATGTTTAACCTTGCATTAATGCCATCCTTGATCTTTCTTAGAATATTAAGCAATATTCCAATAAGATTATCACAAACATTTTCTCTATATGTACTAAATCAAGGAAATGTCTAACATTTAAGGTCTTCCTATATAGCAACTCAAGGAATACAGACATTTTCTTCCACCCATTTGTTCCAACATGCTTCGCAAATTGTTTACCAAATTCAATATCAACATCTTTTACCTTCTCAAACAATTCCTCACCAATCAACTACTTTAGTGCCCTTCTTTCTTCTGATTTCCTATCAAATGATTTTTTCTAACGACGATATTGATGTTTGTTACCTGACCATTCGTGATACCCAAGGTACACGTTCTTCATACCATGTTGCAACCTTACTGAATGTGTGCCTTCTTCATAAATAGGGCATTCAAGTTGTCCTTTAATGCTATATCCTGACAAATTACCATACTCTAGAAAGTCATTGATTGTACCAAAAAGCATGGCTCTCAAATTTAATATCTCTTCTCTGTAGGCATCATATACCTACACATCTGTCCCCTATATTAGCTTTAAGTCTTCAATAAGTGATTCCAAATAAACATCTATGTCATTTTCAGGCTGCTTTGGCCCCAAGATTAGCAAGGACAACATAATATACTTTCGCTTCATGCAAAGCTAAGGAGGCAAGTGATAAAACACATTTGTTACCCACTTTTATTTGTCAATTAGGATCTTTTTATTAATAATTTATCACCTTCAAGTGCACACATTGCATTAGATTTGGAATTTTGCTTAAGTTTCTAGGTTCAGTGCACTAGGGGTATTTTGGTCCAAAAAAATAAAATTTTGAGAAAATGTACAAGAAAAATTGAAAAAGTGCATTTTATGTCCAGTTGATGAGTGGTGAGATTATATTTTTAAAATTCATTTTAGTTTGAGAGTAATTAAATAAAAAGTCAACACTTTCTTAAGTGTCTTAGTTTGTCCTAGTTTTTGGTTTAGCTTTATGTGAAAATTTTATATAATTTTGTGCAGCCTAAAACTTGGTTAATTTAATAAATTCTCCCTTCTAATTATGAATTTAATTTTGGACATGAATTAGATTTTATTATATCATATGCTCTTTAATTGAATTATGTGATTTATGTGACATAGGTGGCATGTGACTTGTGCATCAATTGGGCAATTGAGGTCAACACTCCTTGAAATCAATGGCTGATGGTTTGTACGTGAATTATGATTATTTTGAGGGATTAAATCAGCCTAAATGATGTGGATGACACATGAGAAGTTAGGCACACATTGGAATCATCTACAAACCAATAGGAAGTTGCTACCTTGCAAGTGTGACAAGGCTCCCATTTACATTTTAATTTCTTTTTATTTTTTTTTAATTAAGCTTCAGCTGATGGGAAACACCAAGGAGCATGCCATTTTAAGCCCTAAATAAGATCCAACACTGATCTCATTCATCTTCCACATTCTCTCTCTCTTGTTCATAGTGTTCTTCATTTTCTCTCTTTTGTTCTTCATTTTTCAGCACCCTAACCTCTATTTTCAGTCACCAAACCTCCATAAAACTCATACCATTCTTCTCCTCTCTTTATTTTCATTCCATCCCTTCCATTTTCACAAAGATTGAAGCTCATTTCCATCATTCAAGAGCTATGGAGTTTGGCCTTCACAAGCAATCACTAAGGTTCTTGAAGATGAAGATTGGCTAAGTTTCTTTGTGAAATCCTAGAGAGATAAAGATGGAGGATGAGTCTTGAGCTTCAAATTGGCTAAGTTCTTTTGTTTCCTATCCTCTTCTCTTTTTACTAGATGGTTAGATTCCTTAATCTAGGGTTTAATCATCTTAGCTTATAAATTCTAATTTGAATTTGATGTTGATGTAAAGAGAGAGGATTGTTTCATTCAATTTCTTCTTTGGACAACCATGACTGAATTTTGCCACTCTTTGTTTGGCACATAATCTTGTGTTTTTAATTAGTGAATTTCTTGTGTTAATATTGCATAATCTTATGGTGTTAATGCTTGTGTTGTTGAGTAGCTTGACATAATCTTGTGGTTGCTCAATTTATATGTTTGACCATGGCTGTTGAGAGAGGATTTTGAGTGAATCACTTGGCTAATGTCTTCACCAATTAGTTAATTGAACTAGGGATTTTAATCTAAGACCTAGGGAGGTTAGCTAATTAGGTTAATTGGCTTTGGATAATTTTCTTAAGTCATGACAGCTTTAGTCAAAAGGAAAGGGAAGCTAAACTTAGCCTAATCATGAGAAGATAATGAATCCAAATTCAACTAATCTCTAGGGTTCCATTATTGTGAAAAAGGAAGTTCATTTCACTCACTTTCACTAGTATTTTAATTACTTGCATATTAGGTAATTAGTTTAGATAATTAGCTAGGTAACTAAATTCCTACAAACTTTGGTTGATTTATTTCACTAGATAACTTTCAATTAGACTTAAAACCATTCCTTGGGAGATGACCTAGGGTTGGCCTTATATTGCATTAGGGTTAGTTTTAGTGTAATTTTGAGGATAAGCGACTAATTTCCTATCAACAAGTTATAAATGACCATCATCACAGGCCATATACTATAGGTACTATTCTACATTCCATGCGGGTTCATCCCATTGGTAGATAATGTGAGATGTAAATTCCTATCTTTTTTTCTGAACTCAGGGTACTTCTAGTCAAACCTTGTCCATTTAGGAGAATCAACTGGATGCTAAATCTTGTCATCTTTAATTCTCCCATATGCATGCTAAGTTAGATTCTTTGCCTCTTGACGTATGCTATACAAGCGCCTGAATCTTGAGATAATAGAAAAATACCACATCACCTTCTTTGGACTCTTCCCATTCTTTATATAACATGATGCCTCACACTTAGGAAAATGGGTTAGCTCTTCATCTTCATTCCTAAACAAGATGCAATCATTAGGGCAAGCATGTATCTTCTTATAACTCAGGCCAACTGTGTGTAACACCTTCTTTACATCATATAGCCGACTTTGAAGCTTGTTATTCTTTGGTAGCATTAATCTGATTAGAGAGAGCAAGCTTCTCGCTAGTATCACTCTACCCACTTGTAGCTTTCAAGTTGTATAATTTTAACACAGTGGACGATAAAGTGAACTCAGTACAACCCTCATACAAAGGTGTCTTTGCATCAATTTTCAACTTCTTCAATTTCTTTGGAAAATTTTTGAGTTCCCCTTCCATCTCATTGGCTAATTCTTCAAAACATCAATCAGCCTCATATGCACTTGTGTCAGAATCCGGTGATGATGAACAAGTTTCTATATATGCCTAGCTACTATTATTCACATCTTTAGGTATCTCTCTATGCTTCACCCAACATTTATAACTTTGATCAATTCCATACATAAACAAGTGAAGTTCACATATTTCAAGAGAAACGGACTTCACATTACCACAGCTTAAACAAGGGCAAACAATTTGCTCGCGTTTTTCTGTATTATTCACTGCAAACTTAATAAAGTCTGTCACCCTATCCCAATATTCTTTGGATAGACAGTTAGTAGACATCCACTCCTTATCCATAATTAATGCCCTCATTCAAGTAAGATAATAAAGATAGAAAAGCGTTCAGTGAGTACAAGTTGATTATTTTAAAAATTTAAAAAACTTTAGTATCATAACGACTTAAATTCAATGTTCCTTGAGCCTTATTCTCTATTTATACTAATTTAATCAAACTAATTATTAAACTACTTCAAAGAAAGCTCACACTTGTTCTAAATAATCACAAAATAAAAATTTAAAAAAATTTCAGCAGCATAACGACATGAAATTGAGCACTTCCCAGTCTTAATGCCCTCTTTTCACAAATCCAATATTAAAATAACAAAAAATTCAAATCAACATAAATAGATCAATCTTAGGTCAATTTTAGAACAAAATACTATAACAACTAAAAGGTTAAGCAACCATGTAACATAATAACTATAATATATAAAGATACAAGTCCAATTTCCAAGCTCAATAGGCAGAAAAAGGAATCAAATAACTAGACAAATACAATATTTAAAAAAAATTGAAAAGCATTGCGTAAAAGTGACAAGGAACATGTCTACTAAGTCAAGACATATATCTTATTGTTAATAAAAAATTAATTTATCTTAATAAACTAAATAATCAAAACCTAGCGCATATTAAACTGAACATTTAATAATCACAAGACAACCACATATTGGAAAAAATTATTTTATCTTAAAAACATGTTTACTAAATTTTGTGCAAAACTAAATATCTTAAAAATTAGTTTATCTTAATGAAAAACATGTTTACTAAATTTTATTCAAGGTTGTCCCACCACATATTGAATAGAATTTAAATAATTAAAGGCTAACCAAACACTCTGATCTTCTCTCTTGTCTTTTGTAGAAACAAACTACTAGGGGCATGAAATAATAAAATCAATCAACAAAATATCACAATTAAATCTCAATACAACCCAACAAATTGTCACAAACTCAAACCAATCCAGTCAGCTAATCTAAATTCTAAGTTCAAAATCAACGTTATCAACCTCAGCAACTTCATCTACATAATGAGATAGAAAATGAGATAGAGAACTACCATAAAAATCACAAAGCAATAGTGTGAGGCTGCTCTTGATAGAAGAGAGGATGAGATAGTGACAACTTCAGGGGCAGATGGTGAACCTAAAGGATTGAGGGCTAGTCAATATTGACAGCGAGAATAAATGTATCTAACCTGCTCTCAAGAAGAGAAATAGGAAGAGGAAGAGGAAGAGAAAAATGAAGAGGAGCTTTTGAGGAAAAGGAAGAGGAAGATGAAGAGAGTTTGGCCAAAAATGAGTCTCAGAAGAAGAGGAAAATAGAGGAAATAGGTGGCAGTTATGACTGATACTTAGAGAAAATGACCAAAAATGACTATAACTCTCTTTGCTTGCAATTGTGCTGATGCTAAGAGGAAATAAGTGTTGACAAGATATAGGCCTCGGAAGAAATGGGTTTGCTCTACTCTCATCTCACTCTCACGCGCGTCCCTGTACTAGCTATGCATTTAATCTTGCTAATGGAGAAGAAGCAAAAGAAATGAATATATTCAACAGTTAGAAAATTTACTTATTGAATATATTATACCCAACAGTTAAAGTGAAACAACCGTTGAGTATTAATATCAAATACTCAATGGTTATTTCATATAATCGTAAGGTAATTTAAAAGAAAATTAATAAAAAAATAATTTCTCAAATATATATATTCGAATAATATGTATATTATTTTGCTAAAATATATTCTAATATTATATAATATATATATATATATATTATTTTTCTATATACACACACATATATATATATATTCAATGTTTAAATTCAAATAAATGTTGAGTATTAAGATATTAAAAAAATAAAAATTAATTGACTCAAGTCATATATATATTCAACGGTTTAATTTAACATTTGTTTAGTATTTAAATCAATACTCAATAATTTTTAAATTTTAACTATTGAGTAAGAGGTTGAGTGTAATTTGCTTATATACTCAACAATTATATTAATAAACCATTGAATATTATCACAAATAACAGTTTAATATGTAATTTTCTCTTTCCCGCCTCTCAATATATAACATGTTTAGTTATAACCGTTGAATAAATATTGTTATATATATCTTAATTTTTATACTAGTGTCATTTTTAACTACCTCAAGTAACCAATGAGAGTTAGCTAAGTTATTAAATTTTTTGAAAATATAATATAGTTTCAATTTTATCCCTATTTATTAAATGAAGAATTTTCACATTTGCATTACATTCTTTTTAATAATTAATGAGTTTAAATAAGGTAATATTGAAAAAAAAATTATTGTCCTTATCAAATACTCCCCCCATCCCAAATTATAAAACACTTTTAAACAAAATCTCACATACTAATAAACTTCCTTAAATACACTTAACAACTTTATCTTTTTAAAATAAAAATACAAATTTTAAAAAATGCTAATCATTTAATATATTAAAAAGAGAATGGAGGGAAATTAATTATAGAGAAAGAGAAAGGGCAAATTTGAAATTAGTGCACTTAATAAAACTTTAATATACCCAAAGTATTTTACATTTACATTTTAGGATAAAAAAATTTCTTCAAAAATATCAGATGGAAGGAATATCTTACATTAATAGGATCAAAAAATTCTTTTAGACGGTAGCGTATGATAGATACCACACCGAGTGCATATCTTAATTTGACTAGAGGAAGCACTTTCTACGGTCCTTGTACTCCAAAGCGCCTCATGGAAACCAATGAAACATGATTTAACTTTAACCATATTAATTTTATTTAAAACAAAATATAATTTATAATTTTACTTCTATTTATTATATATATATATATATTCATTGAAAATTATTACATTCTCCCATTCTCTAAATTTTTTTAATAAGGGTGACATTGAAAAAATAATAATAAACTCTCTATAATGTGACTTTTTTAAATAAACAAATGTTCCATCTAGTATGTGCTTTAAAAAACAATAGGATGGAGTATTAAAAGTCAAACTCAACTTTAAAATTTTCCCTCCCCTCCCCTCCAACCAAACAATACCTAAAAGGGAGAATAAAAGGGGGAAAAAGAACTGAAATTGATAGACTTATTTAGAACTGCAAACATATGGTAAAATGAATATTATATATGCTAATTTTGAGTTAATTAATGAATGAAGTTTACATAATTAACCAATAGGGAAATTTTTCACGGCAGGAAATCATATAAAAACGAGATGCCTGCAGGTTCAAGAATAATGACTTATCAATGGTACTTCTCACTCCCCTCGATCCCTACTAATAAGGCATACATCTAATTACCTTATTAGAATTAATAACAGATGATTAAGTTATTAATTTGTCATAAAATTTTAATTTTACTTTTATTTAAATTAAAA